TTAGGTTTGTGATAAAAAAAATTACAAAAAAAAAACTAATACACAAACAGCGCTCATAATTTGAGTGAAAAGTTTCCTACTAACTGCATCGACCAGCAGACATCACGTGTTCGACATGTTCCTCTTCATTCACTGTATTGCCTAAGAAGCAAGCAGACCTACTTAGGCTGCTACCCAAATCAACTGTTCCGTATACTAAGGACTGATGTTCAAATCCCAACTAGACTTGGGAGAAACTGAAGTAGTAAACAGCTTACGGGATTCTGTGAGCGGGAAAGGTGTAGAACGGTGGTGCGGAAATTGAGGATATCGCGTGTCGTCAATATTCAACAGTAAATTCTGGTTGAAACTGAAAATATAATTGATAATATGAAACGCTTATTATTTCTGTGCCCCTATTTCATTGGTACCGTGATTTTGCATCGTTCTTAACACCGACCGTGGTGGAGAGAACACGTGGCGAGCGCTTTCATTAACGCAGTACTATTGAAATACGAAAGTTGTGCCTAAGAGGAGCGCTCAAAACATTATCACAGTTATTGAATGAAAGGGATGAAGGTAAAACGCGAAGACGATGTATAACTCCCGTTCAGAATCGTGATGGGGGTGGAAATCGTATGCATTGTCTAACCCCAAAAATATCGAAAGGGCCAGTCAGGATTAACCATCACAATACAATGCACACACACACAACCAAGTCCACGAGAAAAACTAGGTTAAAACCCATTTTCAAACCCAGATTTTATTTAAATTTATGCATCTTTCATGGACTCACATGGTTAGGAACGGACTAAAGACATGTCGTACTAATAAAATGGTCCCTCGTCACACGAATTGATGACCCTGAACTGCACGTATGCATAGTACACAGCATGGCCCATTTGTACAGGTTGCAGTGGGAATCGATCGCGAAACGAATCTCTCCACATGGTCAACCACAACATGTGAACTTCTCCTTACTTGGTTTCTCATACGCATCCAACTGGAGGATGCCAGAGAGCGAGAGCGAAATTTGACGAAAGAATAAAAGCCGCAGTCAACAAGGACAATGAGTGAGTGAATGAGCAGTGATTGAAATGCTGGTCCCTGATTGTGGTACCCATGATGAACAACATCCGACCGGAATCAACCTAGACACACAGTTGACAATGAAAGTTGTAGTAAGCTATGAGCGATTTCGATCACCCCGGATGCGGGTTTAGCGAGCCCCAGTTGGGTTGATGGATTCACTCACTGCACGGATGAGTCCTAATCAGGTCGAAACGGGTGCTGCACAGTGCTTTTTAGCTTNTCTCAAATCACGTTTCATTTGCGCTATATACACGACGAATTCTCGTTTGAAAAAAGAATAACAGTCGAGAAACAACGGATACGGTGATGGGTAATCCGTATCCTCACATATTCACACTACAAAAAAACCGGAGCAGTGAAGCAGGCCAAAGCTCAGTGCATGGCGTGCCCTAATCAGCGGGTTGACGGTATACCAGTTTACCGAGAGCGTAGATGAAAATATGAAAGGATAAACGGAAAGGATGAACGGAAGAGAAATTGCTTCGCCTCACTCACCGTCTACGGGAGAATACCAGCTACCAAGAAACACAACAGGAGTGTCTTTGGAAAACTGTGGCCAATAGCGTAGAGACCAACCGAATTTCAGCTGATTCCACGCATTTCGAACGTGATCCGAGGTGGAGAACTTGAGTTGATCGGTCGACGATCCGGTCGGACGATTATGTGGTTTGTGGGGAGCATCTTTCAGACTCCGGTCCACATTTAAATAATCCTCGTCATCATCATCATCATCACTGTTCACCAGCGACGCGATCAAGGCCTCGCGGTTGAGCATAGCATCCTCGTTACCGACTGAAACGTAACAGGAATGGAGAGATTGCAAAGCTCATATGTGCAAACCACCTAGGACAAACCGTTTCATTCATCTTTAATACACGTCTGTCATGGCGTGATGTTCATGCCACTCCAGTACCTAAAAAAGAAAATGCTAAGTTTCGGCCTAATGCTTCATCTTCAGTATGACTTAGGACGTTTGAACCAATTATTATTACCCACCTATCCCCTAATCTTGATTCCAGTCAACTTGCTTATTGTAAGCGTTGCTCTACATTAGATGCGGTCGCTTGTCTTACACATTCTGTTTTATCCACTATCGACCAATTAAAAAATTGTTCATGTTTGTTTTTGGACTACACAAACTCGTTTAACTTTGTTGACAGGACCATCCTATTGTCACTGTTACGGCAACATAATCTCCCTCCACATCTTTTCAACTGAATGCACGACTATCT